TACAGTTTCTCTCTCTGCAGAATCAGGAAAGAATGAAAAGGGACTGCCACCAAATCCCAAGAAGCAAAGTCCACCAAAAAATGTAGTGGAACCAAAGGAGAGGGGAAAGCCACTAGCCACCCCAGCAGCTGAACTGTCTAAAAACTTAACCTCCACCCAGTTCTTCCCGGTCAGTTGTGAACGGAGGCAGGACGGTAGCTAACCCCAACCCCGGTGACAGCCTGCTGGTCACAGAGGAAGGGCTTCCGACGTGTTTGTCAAGAAAGACTTTGGTAGAGTTTCCTCAAAAAGTTGTCTCCATCCAGAAAACAAGGTTCTAATTCAGACGCAGTCCCAGGGAGCAGGAGAGGGACAGGTGACTTGTCCTCGTCCTCGTCCAGCTCCTCTGACTCGGAGTCCGACGAGGAGGGTGACAGCCCAGGAGCTGACCATCCAGTGAAGTGCAGAGGCAGAGGAGGGTTCCCCAAAGCAGAGATCCCCGTTCCCTTGCAAATGGAGCCCCCCAAATTGGGGTGTCACAGCAGCCACATGCAGACCTCAGCTCTCCAGAGAGACCCCGCCAGGCAAAGAAGAAAGGGGCTTCCAGGAAGCCTTTAGAGGACAGAAAAGACATCAAACCAAAAACCACAGCACCCACGTCACAAGAGGGTGAAGGGTTTACAAACCAAAGTGGAAAGGCAAAACAATTGCACAGAACAGGTAGAGCAAATGACATCGATAAAAGGAGCCAGAAGGTAGTTGAAGTTAAAAAAGTCTCATCTAACCATACAAAATCAGGATTTTCCACACGACCGGACAGCGACCCAGCGCCCACCCCATAGACAGAAACTAGAACAGGAACACAGCTGCAGGCGACTCCTCCTGGGACTGGAGGATGACGTGGAGAAAATCAAGTACCAGAACCTGACGGGGAGGCGACTTTTGCCCTGCTCAGAAACGAAAATGTGGGAAAGCCAGTAGCAGACAGACTCTTGAAGTCTAAGGAGGATTTGGAAGATCAGTTACCAATAAAAAATTTGAAGCCAGTTCCTGTTCATAACAGACGCGTTGGATGAAAAGACAGCAGGACTGAAGCTTGAGGAAAAGGACGAAATCACGGAAGACTCAGCCACCCCAGTGGAAGGCCTGGACCACACACAGGGGCCTGCACAGGCCGCCGCCTCCACAACACCGCCTACAAGAATCTCCAGCATCATGACGACAGCACGTACACCTTCTTAGACCTCAACCTGGACCTCTTGAAATTTAGGATGCCTCAGCCCTTTTCAGGACAGGAGTCACCTCGCCACTGAGAGCTCAGTTTAAAGATAAGCCTTCTGTTGTCCTGCATTCTTGCGTGCAAAAATAAAATCCGCTCAGCCGTCAAAAAAAAAAAAAAAAAAACAAACCCCAAAACAAACAAACAAAACAAAACAAAACAAAACAAAATAAAAAACCTAAAGCTTCCTAGAACTAATAAGTGAGTTTACTAAGATTGCAGGATACAAGATAAATACAAAAATCTACTATATTTCTATCTGTTATCAATGAATAAGTGCACAACAAAATTTTAGATGCAAATCACTTACACATTGCAAAATAAAAATTAAATACTTAGGTATAAATCTAACAAAATATGTACAACACTTACATGCAGAAAACTACAAAACACTGATGAAAGAAAGTGAAGGTCTAAATAAACTGAAAGAGACTGTATTCATGACTGGAAGATTCAATGTAGTTAACATGTCAATTCTCCACAAGCGAATGTAGATTTAACTCATTCTTATTAAAATATCATAGAAATTTTATGTAATACAGACAGAACAATATTACCATAAAATCTACATGAAAAGGCAAAGGAATTAGAATAGCTAAAATAATTTATAGAAAGAAGAAAAAAGTGGTAGGAATCAGCCTACCCAATTTCAAGATTTATTATATAACTTCAGTAATCAAGACTATACGGTATTGGAGGATGTATGGACACATAGAGCAATGGAACATTGGAAAACTCAGAAATTTACCCACACCAGTAAACTCAACTAAATTTTTACAAAGATGCAAAAACAACAATGGAGAAAGTACAGCCTTTTAAACAATTGGTGCTGAAGCAAATGGACATTCCTAAAGAAGAAAAAAAAAAAGCCTCTACCTAAATGTGACATTTTATACAAGAAAAACTCAAATAGATTAATTTTAAAAATGGAAAACTATAAAACCTTCACGAAAAAAACATGGGAGCAAATCTTTTTTCAGTTCTAAGGCTAGACAAAGAGTTCTTAGGCTTGACATCAAAGCACTCTACATAACAAGAAAATGATAAATTGGACCTCATCAAAATTTAAAACTTTTGCTTTGCAAAAGACTAAGAGGATAAAAGACAAGTTACAAACTGAGAGAAAATATTTGGAAACCACTATCTGACAAAGGTCTAGTGTCTAGAATATATAAATAAATCCCAAAGCTCAACAGTAAACAAACAAACAATTCAATTAAAAAATGAGCAAAAGAAATGAACAGACATTTCACCAGAAAGGATATACAGATGGTAAAGAAGCATATAAAAAAATTCAACATCATTAGGAACCACTAAGGAAGTGCATATTAAAACCACAATGATACATCACTACACATGTATCTAAATAGCTAAAATGAAAAATAGTGGCAACACCAAATGCTGGCTAAGATGCAGAGAAATTACATCACTCATAATGCTGTTGGGAATGTAAAATGGTAGACCCACTATGGAAAACAGTTTGGCAGTTTCTTAAAAAACTAAACACGCAATTACCATAGAACCCAGTAATTGTACTCCCAGGCATTTATTTCACAGAAATGAAGTCTTATGTTCACAATTCCATAAAGTTGCTATGGAAACTGTACACAAGTTTCCATAGCAACTTCATTCGTAACAGACAAAAACTTGAAGAATGTGACACTCAGCAGTTACGTTTCTATTATCCTTAGACCCAGCCCCATCTTCTTTTGTATTTCAAGGACTTATTAAAGTCTGCGTGTTGTTTATCTTGCTAAAACAAACGAAACAAAACAAACTTGAAGCAACCCAGATGTTCTTCGATGGGTAAACATTTAAACAAATTGTGGTACATCCGTATTGAAGCAGTAAAAAAGGAACAAACTATTGATACACACAACAACATGGAGAGATCTCCAGAAAATTATGCTGAGTAGAAAAAAGCCAGTACCCAAAGTTTGTATACTGTATGCCTCCATTTATATATAAATTTTGAAATGACAAGATTCTAAGAACAGAACAGATTAATGGTTGCCAGGGGTTAAGAGGGGTTGGGGGCGGAGTGAAATGGATGTGGCTACAAAATGGCAACATGAAGGATCTTTGCGGTGATGGAAATGCTATGTCCTGACTGTATTTGTCAATTTCCTGGTTGTGATACTGTGCTACAGTTTTGCAAAGTATTATCCTTACAGGAGACTGGGTAAAAGATACACAGGATCTCTAGATGCTGGTTTTTTTTAATGATTCCCTATGAATCTACAATTACCTCAAAATACGAATTTTAATTTAATTTTGAAAAATAGAAGAAAAAAAAAGCCTTTACCTCAGATGGGTCAATTGTCCTTCCATATATCCCGCTAGTCTGGATCATCCATTTGGCTCAAACTGCTTCCTCTAGCTCCTCCCTCTCAACAGATACCACCACCACCACCACCACCAAACATTTACTGGGCATTTGTTATGTGACAAAGAACTTAATGGACTAACTTTATGTGCTAAGAACATTACGCATGTTAGCTCATTTAATCCTCATAACAGATTACTTTGAATTCTTCTTTCCATAGGAAGCAGCAGCCTCAGACACCACTCCCTCTACTTCATCCTCCACCATCCACTCCTTTCTTTCTTCCTTTGGTAATGAAAAGAAGAGGCCGTTCCCCAAATTAAGGGCAATCCTTTCACTTAAGCACTGGATCCTTTCTTCTCAGGATCGTAACTCTTGTGTTTTGAACTCCTGCATTTCTACTACCTCTATTCTGTCTGAATTTAGGTATGTTCACGAATTCTCTCAATTGAAAAAAAAAAAAAAAGCTTCCCCAAACCTTACTAAGCATCAACTCCTCCTTTCGTAGCCACTTTTTTTTTTTTTTTTAACATTTTTTATTGATTCATAATCATTTTACAGTGTTGTGTCAAATTCCAGTGTTCAGCACAATTTTTCAGTCATTCATGGACATATACACACTCATTGTCACATTTTTTTCTCTGTGATTTATCATAACATTTTGTGTATATTTCCCTGTGCTCGTAGCCACTTTTCTTAAGAATTGTTCACATTTATTCTTTCTACTTCCTTAACTTCCGTTTTGTCCACAATCCACTACAACTTGTCTTCTCCTCCTGCTCTATGGAAGCCTAATTTCTTGCCCGCATTTGACACCACGTCTATTCCTTAATCTGAACTCTCTCTTTTGGGCTTCTCTGACGTTACCAGCCTGTGAGAGTTGAGATGAGTGACACAGTTGACCTAAAAAGAGGGAAACAAATTAGGGCATGCGAGCGGCAAAGAAAGCAAAGATGAGTGTAGGTTGCTACCTTCTGAGAACAGGTTTGGGCGACAGGAGGCAGAAAAGGCTACACTGAGCATTAAAACAAAGTGACCGTGACTTTCACCCTCACTTTCACCCTCTTTCTTCCTCCTTCCTTTGGCGGCCTGGCGGTACTCAAGGAAAAACTAGAGGATAATGGCCATGCGACAGGCTGAGAGAAGGCCCAGCTGTTTGTCTCCTCCTGCTGGCGCGGACAGCACCACGGTGCAGGCGGAGGAGGAGCTAGGGCGCCAGCGGAACCCGTGCGCGGGGCCGCGGTTGCAGCCCGACCCCGGGCCGCTGGCTGGCGGACGCGTGTGCGCGTGCGTGGCGGCGCTTCCGGTCCCGGCGGCGTCTCGGGCAGCTTATGGGAGTGCGGGGAGGCGGCAGGAGGAACCCCGAAGCGCCTGCAGGCCAACGCCTCCGTGGATCTCGGAGTAGTCGGACATCGTCTTGGAGACTTCGGCGCGGGGCACCCCGGAGGCGGATCAGAAACTGGCCGAGGACTCCGCTCGCTGCCGGTGCTGGGAGGAGATCGGGAGCCGCCTGGGCCGGCTGTACCTTTCGCGCCCTGCGTCCCCAGCCTGGCCATCAGCCAGCGGCGCTGAAAAAGAGGCTGAGGTTCAGGGTTTGGGAGGAGATCCAGATGAAATAGGTTTCTCAGCAGATCCAGCGCCGTTAATCCCAGCGAGCGCACACTTTTTAAAACATGAAGAAATTAAGGCTTAAGGAACTAGAGAGTCGCCTGCAACAAGTGGATGGATTCGAAAAGCCCAAGCTACTCCTAGAACAGTATCCAACCAGACCGCACATTGCAGGTAGGGCGGCTGCTGATCACGCCCGCGTTTCGGGGGTTAGTCCTGTCTATTCATTCCATCATGAAAAAAGAACAGTTATTTGGATACAAAGAAAGTCTAGAGGAATTCTGCTCTAAGATTACATTTTGCATTAGAGAGGACTTCCTTGACACCACAGCTGGAGGCATCCCACGCACAAGACACACTGTCGTTTTACTGTTTGGTTTTCTGCATACCCCTTAACACTGTCAGACATCGTTTTAATGTGTTTGTTAATCTCATTACACTATAGACTCCTCGAGGGCAAAAAAGGTGCTGGTCTTGTTCACAAGTTTCTAGAGGAGTTTCATCTGGTACTACAAACATTTGCTGAATAAGGGTCAGTTTCCTAGTGCAACGAATTGCCAGTGCAGTGATTCCTATGCGCTATACTCTTCCCTAGAAATGAATACTAGAGTTGGTGGTGAAAAAACTTGAGTTTTGGCAAATCCAAAATAGGTGCTATAGAAAGATGAGGATGCATTTCAATTTTAACAGATGATCTGAGAATCAGCAGTGTTGCTTTATGTGAGAGATTGATACTGGGAATAAAAGAACACAGGAAAAACCATTTATATTTAATAAATACATTACCAAAGTCATTGGAGGAGTCTTAGGAAAATTTGTTGAGAATATCTGCAAGGAGGAATCTCCTCTCCCTTCAACATAGTTCTTTTTCTAAGCTGCCAAAGACAGTCAAGGAAAATACGTGTATACCTGCACTTAACTCCAACAGATGATCGTATATTTACAACCAAAAATTGGCGCAAAATTGCGTCTGGGATAAGCCCAGTTTTCTCAATTTAGATAATGATTTCTTTAATGTGTTCTGGCTGTAGGGTTTCTTGGAATCTTTTTTGTTTTTCCAAATAATAATCAGTTGTTTCAAACCCAGTGTGTAACATGCACATGGTTGCGCTAATTCTTCGAGATACTAGCTACAAAGCCACTAACACCTGCGGCAACAATCACAACAGCACAGTCAGCCTGAATGTCTCTGTAATTGTGTTTTTTGATAAAACCTCTGGATCCTGGAGTGTCAGTGATGGCTGGCAGACCTTGGTGGGTTCAGATATCCACAGGGATATCAGTGGAGATACTCATAGTTTAACTTCAGTGTATCCCACACCTTTGTGTATTTGAAAGATCCCTTTCCCACCACAGCAGCTTCTGCTCTGTGCCTCAGTAGTTCTTATGAGGTCTCATTGGTAGATTATGAACATAGTGTCTGTAGATTATAAGCGATGTGCCTAAAGGCTACATTGTTCCTTTTCTATTATATCTTGAAATTATAGTACCTTGTTCTGGTGACAAACTTGTAAAAAAGTTCTGTTCTGTTTTAGTGTTAATGCTTGTCCAGTATTAGTGTGGTTCTCAGACTTACATGTTTTCACAGTAAAGTTTCACAACAATTTTGGAAACTGATATAGGATTACCAAGTTCATATTTTGAGAAGGAAAGATGTTTTTAAATCTATTCTTACCATCCTTTCATAAAAACAGTATTTCAACATCAAAGAAAAAAAACGATATATGGATGTGTACGGCAACATTTGAATAGGTTAAGGAAAAAACATTTTGACCTTATTTTTCTCATTTTACCTCAAAGTTTTATCATTCTTGGCATTGTCAGCAGACTATTTTGGGGGGAACCACTAGTATGTGTTGTCATCCTCTGTGGAACTTTCATTTCACTACATACCAAGTTATTATAACTTATTTTAAAAAATAATTTAGAATACCATTTTGGGAGAGGACTAAATAATCCAAGACAAGAAATCGTTCTACAAAGAGTCATTTGCATAAATTGGATTTTGGTCATCAATTTGCCTGCTTATTCCTTGATATGTTTTCTGATCTTTTAGCATGTATGCTGTATACAATCCATAACACATATGATGACATTGAAAATAAAGTGGTTGCAGATCTAGGATGTGGCTGTGGCGTGCTCAGCATCGGAAGTGCAATGCTAGGAGCAGGGTATGTGACCCGGGGTGTATACTATTTGGGTATGAGGTGGTTTTAATAAGAAGCTTGAATAAAATCAACTGAATTATAATTGTGGGACTCTACTGTATGAGAGGAGAGGAGCAAGAATCTAATACTGAGTACATTTTGAATGGGAAGAACATCAAAACAAACCAAAAAAAAAAAAAAAGGTAATAGCAGTAGTCAGCTGCCTCTTTTGTATAAACCTGAGTTTCTGACCCCTGACAAAGTTGGGAGACCATGCTGTTGAGAGGAAACACTGGCACTTGGCCAGTTGGCTTAAAAAGGTATAAGGTATATGGTTTTGTTGTTTTGATTTGGGAGCCATAGTAGCCACTGTTTCTTTGTGTTTTGTATTTATAGGTTGTGTGTTGGATTTGACATAGATGAAGATGCACTGGAAATATTCAGTAGGAATGTAGAAGAGTTTGAGTTAACAAATGTTGACATGGTTCAGTGTGATGTGTGCTTATTATCTAACAGAATGTCCAAGTCATTTGATACAGTAATTATGAATCCTCCCTTTGGGACCAAAAATAATAAAGGTTAGTAACAAGAATCAGGTTCACTGGTGTCTTTGTAGAAAAGCAAGTTTTAAAAAACATTTTCTCATTGATTGTTTGGATTGAGTGATTTTTATCACTGTTCATTAAATAAACCAATGTCTTACCTGTATAGTTATTACAATTTCAATTTCAACTTGTTTAATGCATGGCTAGGGAACTTTAAATCTTTGAGCTAAGTGAACAAATTTATTCAATTAAGTATACTTCATCAACTTTCTAGAATGATTTACCTAACTCTTATGAATGATTATGAATCCTAAAAAGAATTTTATACTTTTAGAGGCTCTTTTTAATGCCTCAACATTGGAAGGTTGAGCATGTGTCCATCAGTAACAGTGACTCACTGTGTCTATTTTATGTATTTTGTGGGCAAGGAGGGTAGGAAGTCAGTAAGAGGAAGAAAAGACATGCATAGTTTTAAGAAGTCTTCCTTCCACCTGCGCCCACCATTCTGACTACTACTTTACCTGTTCCCTTCTGCCTTCTTTGAAAATCATTAATTTGGAATATAATATTAAAATTTTTACTTTATCCTCATTTAAATGAGACAGAATAATTCTGGTTTTAAACCTTAAAAGATACTTAGATAGCTTGGTTATTTGTACCCTGCCTTGTTACAGAAGGTATTTGAAGTGGCTTCTCTGGAGTTTGGAAAAAATGTTTTTAAATACCTAGTATTCATTTAATCTTCTATTTTGACTATGGGTATATAAGTTAAATAGGAGCTTTTTTCACTCTTAATAGGGACAGATATGGCATTTCTGAAGACTGCTTTGGAAATGGCAAGAACAACAGTATATTCTTTACACAAATCCTCAACTAGAGAAGTAAGTTCAATCATCATGATGTTGTCTTTTTTTTTTTGCCTTTTATTGGGGGGGGTGGTAATTAGGTTTTTACTTATTTATTTTAATGGAGGTACTGGGGATTGAACCCAGGGCCTCGTACATGCTAAGCATGCACTCTACCACTAAGCTATACCCTCCCCACTGTGTCATTTATTTTTAAAGTCATGACAGTAAGGATTTACTGTGAATACTAAATAACCAGGGTATCTAATTCTCCTGACCTTTTAACATCTGGCACTTAAAAACTAAATTTTCCCTTTAAGTAGCTAGCATTTGTGATTAGCTCTATTTTGTTCAGACAGGAACTATTACCAGGAAAGAGACTATATAATTCAGGAATAGAGAATTATGGTATAACTGTGGGAACTAAACGAGTCTGAGTTCAGAACCCACTTCTTCCATTAATCTTTATGTCCAGCATGTAACACAGGAGAGACTATAAGACATATTCCAGAAAATTGGGGGTGGGCCAGTATATTTTTTTACTGTCCATATAACATAGTGATCAAGAACATAGACTGTAGAGCCAGACTACCTAGGTTCAAGTCCAAGCTCTGCTGCTTCCCAGCTGTGTTATCTTCATCAAGGTACCTGAGTTCATTTTTTGTCACCTATCTTGTACTCACCTATACTCTTACAGCATAAGGAACGAAGAGTACCTTATACTCTAGGGTTGTTGTGAGGGTTAAATGAGTTAATATTTACAAATCGCTTAGAACAGTGTCTAGCAATTGCTATGTTAAGCTGTTATTTTAAATTATACATGTATTAAGAGATTTTAAAGTAGTTTTGTAGTAAAAATATTTTGTGTAAATATAGTGTACTGAAATTCAGTTGGAAATAAATTCTGAATATATGGTAATTTAATAACCTTTAAAAATATAATTGCACAGCTAAAAAATATACAGGTATACCTCATTTTATTGCTCTGTGCAGATAATGCATTTTTTATAAGTTGAAGGTTTTGGCAACCCTGCATCAAGCAAGTCTTATCAGTGCCATTTTTCCAACACCATTTGCTCACTTTGTGTCTCTGTCACATTATGGTAATTCTTGCAATATTTCAAACTTTTAAATTATTATATTCGTTATGGTGATCTATGATCAGTGATCTTTGATATTACTATTATAATTATTTTGGCATTGTTTAGCAATACAGTATTTTTAAATTAAGATATGTATTTTTATTTAGACATAATGCTATTGCACACTTAGTAGACTACAGTATAGTTTAAACAGAACTTTTATATACAATGGGAAACAATATTCATGTGATTTCACTTACTCTTATGATACTCACTTTACTGCGATGGTCTGGAACTCACCCTGCAGTGTCTCCAAGGTATGCCTGTATATTGCTAACAATTAGTAGTAGTAAACATAGGTAAGCAGCAAAACACAACACAACTTTACAGGTAAATAAATCCCTATTCAGTAAGTAAGAATAAACACCGGTAATTATTGGTATCTAAAAAGCCTGTGTTAAGGAGGTCCCCAAGACCATCCCCAGGTTTGATGGTTCACAAGGAAGTCTTACAGGACCGAGCATATAGTCATATTCGTGATTCTGATTTGTTACAGCTAAAGGACACAGAGAAAAATCAGCAAAGGGAAAGTGCAAGGGTCAAACTCCAAGGAGAAACCAGATGCAAGCTTCCAAGAGTTCTCCCAGTGGAGTCATACAGGATGCATTTAATTCTTCCAGGAAAGAATTTTTGTAGCAAGGCATGTGAAATGTTGTCAACCAGGGAAGTTCATTGCAGCCTTGGTGCCAAGGGTTTTTGAGGACTGATCACATAGGCACTCTCTGCCTCGCATATACCCAAATTTTGACTCCAAGTAGAAAATGGGTGTTCAGCATAAACACCGTGAACCACTGTTACCAGTTAAGGGATAGGGAGTGGAAACCCTCCCCAAATCTAAATTTCCATACTCCAGCCAAGGGCCAACCTTATAATGTAGACCTTTGTAAGGCTAAGCAGTCAGGTCTGCTATGAACTCTTCTGCACAGCTTGGCATAACGTAAATTTTAGGTTACTCATACACAGTTCATGCAAGCCAAGTAAAATATGCCATTAAAAAGTGCAATTAAGCAGCAGTCTAATTACTGGAATGAATTCCTGTAGTCACATTACCCACGAACTCCTGTCCTCATTGTTTGGTATTGCCATGTTCCACCACCAGGAGGCAGCAGTATTAGTACTGACTTGGCTGGCTTAATAGAATTTTAAGCAAACATTTCATCAAATATATTTTTATTTAGGCAGTGCGTAAGTATTTCATTAGCACAGTAACTAAATAATTTAAGAAATTAGTGTGGTTTGTATTGTGTATACTGTGAAGGAGGTATGATGAATGAACTAATTTTAAGATAGTCCTTAGTTTATGCTGTAGATGTATCTGCTATAAACTAGTGATAATTTAAGTATTCTATGTAATTAGTAAAATTGTCACTGAAGCTTACCTCAGACCCCTTAACTATAGATCCTTGACTTTTAGAAGTGTTTGGCCCTGTACTCATAATATAGGTGCATTTGATAAAAGTTTCTGAATTAAGCATATCCTGGCAGATACGCTAGTAACATGGATGACTCTCAAAGCCGTTGCCATATCTTCTTTCATTAGGTATTGTGAGAATTTAGTTCTTGGCTGATAGTTAAAGCTCAATAGGTAAGCCAGGCACTGTTCTTTAAGTGTCTATCCCAAGCTTACCCCATTCATACTTTGACATCTCTCCCCAAACCAACCACATTCCACTGTATCATCTAACATCTAAAACCTCTTTCACTAATCTTAAGACTCAGAGAGCAAATAACTGATTTCTCAAAAATTTAGCAAGGATCCTAGGATTCCATTAAATTATAGTATTATTTGTATTAAAGTCTACACCCTTATACAGAAATTCTAGATCTCAAAGCAGGGGGGAAGATATGCCCAGAACTGGGATATTTATTATTCAAGAAAAAATTACAAGTAAAAATATATTGTCAGTACTGTTTATAATAGAAATATCCAAACCTCAAATTTTGGGAAAATTAAGTATTTTATCAATCAACTTGAGTACTGTGAACACTACCAACATGAACAAAATGGTTATTCCAAATACTGATATCTCTGCTATAGGATTTCCAGAAAATTATACACATAACTTATTTAGGGGATTATGGACAAATTTCCCCCCCCACTTTTATTAATGTTACTGTGTACATAAAGCAATATTTTACAATAAATTAGTACCAAAATTTTATGAAGTGGTTCAAAATTTTTAGATCTATAAACAGTTAACATTTAGTACTTTGTGTGTCACTACAGTTCAAAGCCCTTTTCTTTCACATTCTACCACAATCCGATGAGATACCATTATCATCCTCATTTAACAGATGAGGAAACTGAGGCCCAGAAAGAATGAGAATTTGCTCAGGGTTACATAGCTAATAAATAATAAATTAGTTCAAATGCAGGCTGTCTGGTTCCAGAAACCATGTTCTTAACTACTATACCATACTGTCAACTGAATAGCCCATGGAATTAGTTCTCTGCAGAATGGTTTCCAGGATAGCTGTATATATATTGATGAAATAATGTGCAGAAACCAGGAGTACATTATGCACTTTGATGGACTTCTGAAATAAGAGCTTTATTATTTGAATTTAATTATGTAATTTGGTCCGCATTATTAAATGGTTTGGTTTCTTTTCAAAATATTATCCGTCCAGTTGAAAAAATTTCAAGGGCCTAAATCCTAATGAAATTTTAAAAGCTTGAAAACTTATTAATAAAAATATTAGTAAAAAGCAATTTTTAATTATTTCAAAATCAGCTCACAATTATGTTATTTATGTTTAGCACATTCAAAAGAAAGCTGCAGAATGGAAAATCAAGACAGAAATTATTGCAGGTAAGATAATTTTTAAGTTTCTCACAAAAACAAACCTCAAAAGCAAACATGCAGAATTTTTATACAGGTGCTACAGAAAAGATACTGTAGAACATGTATTTTAGTTTGTGGTTGGTAATGGGTTAGAAATGGAGCAAAGGCAAGGTATCAGTGTTTGCTCAAGACTGTAATAATTTGTGCATTTTACTGAAAACTTTTAATAGCACCCAAATATTTGGTCACTCCAGGCTCAGAACCCTATATAGCATCACAGTAACTTTAAGAGTTTGGGCTTGAAGTTGGTCAGACCTCAGTTTGAAATCCATTCCTGGAAAATAACCACCAGATTATGCCTTTATTGCCTTTCTATGTCAATTTTCTAATTGTCCCTGGAGCTAAATAACATGAAGCTTTTTCTTTTTTTTAGTGGGGGATAGAATATAATCATCCACACTATGTAAATCATGTTTCATACATTTTTATTAGTAAACTGGATAATATTCACAAACATAAAAATGGAAAAAGCATATACCTAAAAGCTAACTATAATCCAAGTAATTCTGAAAAGCCTGAATTAAGAGTACAATAAGGGAATTTTTTTTACACAATAATAAACTGACTGGATTAGCAGTGTGGTATTAACTCCATAACTGGATCTATTACCTCATAATTAGTAATGTAGTATGTAAAAGGTCTGTCTTCCTATTATATTCAGTGTTGTCATTCCTTGCCTAGTTTAAGGTATTATAATATGCAACACGGAGCTCTTAGAACAATTCCAGTAGAAGTGCACCAAGCCCCAGAGCCGTGCTACTCTAAGTGTAGTCCATTATTACTGACATCCCTTGGGAGCTTGTTATTAGATTTGCAGAATTTCAGGCTCTATCCAGCTCCACTGAATTATATAATCTGTATTTTAACAAGGATTTGATTTGAAGGTGATTCAATTGCACTTTAAAATTTGGGACAAGTATCTAGAGTTAGAATTTGTTGCAAAATATGAAACATAGGTAAGTAGACTTACTGTCATCACTCTAAAATTGGTCAGTACTGAGTTTGGAGAACCTACATTATCCTTTAGAAAAGAAGAATATGAAAAGTGGGTTTTCATTTGAGAGTTTAGTAGGAAAATAATTAGCCACTTACTTACTACCATTATTAAATCCAGACCAGAAATTTTTTAAATAAGCATGGTTATGACACTGGTAGCTACAATTTAGGAAAATAAAAATAAGAAGGTACTATCTATACTTTCATAGGATATACCTTTTTGTCTATTTGTATCCTTCTAAACTCTTCCCCATAACCTTAAATTTTGGTATAAATGACCAAAATAGCAAAAATGCCAGACTCAGTTTACTGTGGCTCATCATGGGGATACATCAAGTCAGTCCTGGATAAATTAAAGTGACAGGTCTAAAATATTTTGCCTATCAGCATTTAGTACTTAATTTTTTTTTTTTAAAGTCAAGGGTGGTAAATGTTTGAAAATACAGTTTATATCCTTATGTGGCTTTTGTTTTAGAGCTGCGATATGACCTGCCAGCATCATACAAATTTCACAAAAAGAAATCAGTAAGTCTCTTGATTCTGGTTTATCTATATTCGGTACTGAAAAACTGCAATAAGTAATTATTTCTAATGTTATCAAGTTGCTTAAGTAAATACAGAAACCTAGCTTAGAAAATAGAATAATTGACTATGGGATGGGCCTATAATCAGAATAGCCAATACTCTGGTTTAAGGTAAATTCTTTCTTAAATGCTTTGGGCAAAAAAATAAAAAATAAACTAAGTTTATTTTTATGCAGTATACATTTTATTACTTTGTACTAATACATTCTCATATTACAAAGGCAATTTAGTGGAAGAATGTATCTTTTGATATCTGAATCATCTGAAATAACACAAACGTAACTATACATAAAAAAAATACTCATTTGAGTAACAAACAAAGACAAGTTAAACAATAAAAAAATTTTCCTTTCTTACAGGTGGACATTGACGTGGACCTAATTCGGTTTTCTTTTTAAAAGCCTCCAAAGACAAAAGCAGCTTAAAACTTAATTAAAATGAATAAAAAAAATGTTGTTTACTAAACTACTGGTCTCCCGCACCATTTTCTGTTTTCTGTTGTTTTGATGCAGGTTCTTCTTTCTCTGTTTCTTCTCTTGCTCTTTTTACTGGTCCTGTACAATAACAATTTTGTTAAGTTCACTGTAAGCATTACTCTATTTTAATATTGAGCATAACTATCAAAAAAACTTGTTTAAAACGATTAGCAACAACTTGCCTACACCAATGAAAAAAGGCTTTTCCTTTGGTACAGACCTGCTCTCTAAACTTAGCTTCTAAACATCTTTTGTTTTCCACATGTAAAACAGCGTAACTGGGATCATTTACAATCTGAGAACATCACTTACACAGAAGTTATAAAACCACACTGCTTTTCTCTCCCACAAATAATTTCTCATTAAAGTGCCAAAGGACTTAGAAAAACTTACCAGATGCACCATTTTCATCACGTTCATCATCACTATCAAATTTAGTTTTCTTGCCTTGAAACTGTACTTTTCCTTTAGCAGACCCAGTCTGGGCAGCTTTGTTTCCCTTTCCTTTTCCTTTAAATCTCCGACCTGTAGGGAGATAATTGAGAAATCAGTAATGTTTTAAATCTCTTGTCAATGTTAAACACTGATTAAAATTTTTACCCAAGCAAATGATTTAAACTGTCCAAGATAAATCAGAACTAATGACCTTTTGACTTCCATTTGTTTAGGGATTCTTGTTGATCTTCTATTATTTTTTTCAATGCTTCTTTTTCCACATCTCCTTCTAGTACTTCCCACGTCACATCTTTGTTCCTTAATTGTAGGTTACCGTTATTTGCATCTTTTGCTTTATCCAGTGCTTCCTTAGCTTTTTCTTTAAATAGAATTATTCCCTACACCAAAGAGAAAATGAAAGCCACACTCTTTAAAGTCCCATAGTTAATTCCTTTGCTCAATGAATTTTTCCTACCCTGCACATCTTCTATGCCATCAACAGTTTTAATGATTTTTACTGATCAGGAAGGAAGTTATTACAAAACTTACAGTCACTAATTCCAACAGTTATTCATATAGCATAATTCAGAAAATATCAGACATCACATCCACTTACAACAATAATAGTAAATGACCAGTAGGAACTATATTCATAAACACATTAACAAAAATTTGCTTTCTTGTACTAATGTCATCTAAAAGAAAAGTTTCTATGGATTTTAAATTGATTTCTAAAAAGTATATGAATATTTCCAAACCTCTTTGGCTCCTCTGACAAAGTCTATCCATTTGATTTCACCATGATTTGAGAAAAGGATGTGCAAATCTTCTCTACAGGTCTGATCATCTAAGTCCCCTGAAAATTTCAGCAAGCAGCCAATCTTTTCTTCTAGAGATTTCTATAAAAATATAAAAGGCAATTTTTTTAAAGCAACCATAAACCAGAAATGGCATAAACCACTCACACCTATACAAAGAATAAGCTAGAGACTAAAATGCAATTCTGAAGTAGTTAAGTAAGTTAAAGTAGTTGATGCATTTTCCTTTATCAACAACGGTTCTATGATGGCTTCTAATTTTTAGCTTACTCCAACATGTAGTAGTTATTATATAAACCATATTGTACCGGACAAGTAGTAATTTTAGGCAATATTTGGCTGTTACTTCAGTGCAATGACTGTAGACCTGCTAACTATTTTTTTTCTAATAAGTCCTCAGGCTTTTCATTCTCATAACTTAGAGTTACAGATTTCTTAAATACCAGTAATATATACTTACCATTTCAGCATTTTCTGCTAGCTTTTGTTTTTCTTCTTGTTCTCTACAAACAAAAATATCATTAAAACATTTCCATTTACTTTATGTGTAAGAAAACTGAACCCTGATAAAGCACCTTAATCATGATGGCTAAATTACTTAATAACCAAAGTCAGTCCTTAGGTTTTCTGACTGTCCAATGCTAAAGCGCAACATAATGTGGCCCCCAGATTATCAAGGTAGCTTAAGGCTTCAATGTTTCATTAGCAAAAGAAAGACCTATTGCTACTCATTTCAGAGCTCATCAGCTCCTCTTCCAAGAACCTTTAACTTTACCTTTGTCAATGCTTTGATGAATTAAAATGTCACAATTAGCTCAACATACTTACTGTTTAGCTCGTAATTTAGCTTCCACTTTATTTTGCTTTCTTTCTTCATTTTTTTTGGCAAAGTAATCTTCCCTACAGGACACAAAACATACAGGCCAAGTTCTTGAGAACAAAAATTAGACTGCAAATTATTTTGAATGATTTAAGACATGGCATAGAAATGAATGTTGCATTTTCTATGAACATAATTACTTACAATTCAAAAATATACCAGGGAAGCCATTCTTACTTTTTTTAAATAACAACTTTACTAAGAAATAATTCACATGCCATAAAATTCACCCTTTTAAAGTGTGTAATTTAGTGAGTTTTAGTATATTCAGAATTATACAACCATCACTACTAATTAATTTCACAACATTTTTATGACCACAAAAACCCTATATCCATTAAGAATCTCATGTTGGGTCTTATTTTTCATGTACAGAGGGGAAAAAAGTAAGTTGAAAGATACAACTACTTTGTTTCATAGTTTTTTAGTGTTAATTTCAAAAATTCTTAAATCCCTGAGACCCAATAGTAAGAGCAATTACGAAAATCACAAGTTAAAAATTCCTTTTGAGAGTTTAACACTGATAGGCATGTTTTACCACTGCATCTCACAGTCCATTAGATTTAGAATACAGCATTAAGAAGATCGTGCAATGCAAAAGTAGGGGACTATGGCCCTACAACTAACTTTATTATGAAAATGCCCTGATGTATCCTAATTTTTAGACATACACAATTGAATAATGAGACAAAATTAAATAATCCTTTGTACTATATAAAAATAAATGCATATATATAGACCATGACAAGTAAGAATAGATAAAAACTGTACCATGATTTATTTTCTAACCACATCAAAAGCTCACATTTTAGCAACAAGTGTAATTGTAAGTTTTAGATGCAAAGTAAGCACTAAAACTTTAACCTCTTTTATTAACTGCTAATGAAAAGGTACTAACAAACACTTCCTTACAGTTTCAAAGGACTAGTAGTTTCCACTGAGCAAATTTCAAGCATTTCTCAAAGGATGCCTCTGGATACTAAAAATACTCATCCTATTGTAGGGAATGCTATTCTATACTCCTTACCCCAGTGTATCAACTCCAGATAACTTAAGTGGCCAAAAGAAACATCAGCAAAAAGGCTTACTTGAAAAGTATTAGCAGGTCTGTGTCTTTGTACTTCTGGCCAGGAGTCTCAACAAATTTCTTAGCAGATTCAATGCTATCAAACACAGCAAATATTGATCCCTATTAATAAGGAAAGAGAAGTTTTTTAAAAGTTACATCCCATGTATTTTTTTAACTAGAAGTCTGTAAGATCATACAACCATACCTTAAATGCTTTGTGCAATGTTCGTCTCATCTGAATATTTAGTACTTGACCTTTATCTTCTAACCATTCTTTTATGTCATCAAGAGTTGCATCAGTTGGGAAGCCTTTCTGTGAAAAGTAGGAGGAAATGTACAAATAACATCTCAAGTAAACAATTTGTCAGAAATTGATCCATTTTGTCCTGAAATGAAGCCAGGATAAATATTTCTCTGTCTTTCTCTGTCACTTAAATGTTTAATAGCTCTTTAGAGACACATGCAGGCTACAAGTGAGGGGATGGAAAAAAATTGAATGTAAATGCAAACCAAACGAAAGCTGGAGTAGCAATACTTACATCAGACAAAATAGATTTTAAAATAATGACTGTTACAAGAGGCAAAGGACACTATAATCAAGAGATCAATCCAAGAAAATATAACAATTATAAATATATATGCACCCAACATAGGAGCAACTCAATGTATAAGGCTATTGTTAGCAGCCATAATAGTGGGGAACCATAACAACCCACTTACATCAATGGACAGATCATCCAGACAGAAAATCAATACAGAAATGCAGGCCCTAAGTGACACACTAGACCAGACAGACTTGATAGCTACAGAGCATTCCATCTCAAAGCACAGAACACACATTCTTCTTAAGTGCACACAGAACATTCTCCAGAATCGACCACGTTGGCCCACAAAGCAAGCCTCAGTAAATTTAAGAAAACTGAAATCATACCAAGCATCTTTTCTGATCACAATGCTATGAGATTAGAAATCAATTACACGAAAAAAATTCAAAAACTGCAAACATGTGGAGGCTAAACAATATGCTACTAAGCAACCAATGGATCACTGAAGAAATCAAATAGGAAATATAAAAATACTTTGAGACAAATGAAAACGAAAATACAATGATCCAAAACCTCTGGGACACAGCAAAAATAGTTCTAAGATGGAAGTTTACAGCGATACAAGCTTACCTCAGAAAACAAGAAAAATCTCAAATAAACAACCTAACCTTACACCTAAAGCAGCTAAAGAAGAACAAACAAAACCCAAAGTTAGTAGAGAAAAGAAATCATAAAGATTAGAGCAGAAATAAATGAAATAGAGACTAAAAAACAATAGAAAAGATCAATGAAACTAAAAGCTGGTTCTTCAAAAAGGTAAACAAAATTGATAAACCTTTAGTCAGACTCATCAAGAAAAAAAAGGAGAGGAACCAAATTAATAAAATCAGAAATGACTGAACCAAGAAGAAATAGACAATATGAACAGACCAATGACTAGTACTGAAATTTTATCAGTAATTTCAAAACTCCCAACAAACAAAAGTCCAGGACCAGATGGCTTCACAGGCAAATTCTACCAAATATTTAGAGAAGAGTTAACACCTATCCTTCTGAAACTATTCCAAAAAACTGCAAAGGCAGAAACACTTCCAAACTCATTTTATGAGGCCACTAGCACCCTGATACTGAAACCAGACAGATATCACAAAAAAATTAAAGGCCAATATCACTTATGAATACAGACGCAAAAATCCTCAACAAAATACTAGCAAGTCAACTCTACAAAGCATTAAAAGGATC